CATCCATTCCCATCCATTCTCATCCATTCCCATCCATTCTCATCCATTCCCATCCATTCTCATCCATTCCCATCCATTCGAATGCCCGCGAATGAGTTTTTTCCCCCTGGATTGTTACACTTAATTATATCGATACTCAATTTTCAATTTTTACTCATTTGATTATTGATGGCGGTTTTCTTCCTAATGATAATTGTTATATTAGATTTAGTAATAAGTATAAAAATGCTGATGCTACTTTGATTTTTCAATATCTCGGAAGTTCAATTACACATCTTTATTTTTTTATTGATAGAGAATATTAAAAAATTGAAAATAAATCTTGAACAATTTTTCTCATCATGCAATCGCTTGAACAATATCTTATTAATTTACATCAATTAACATATCTAACTCTTCAAGCAAAGGTGTGGGTGTAGGCGTGAATGGGTGTGAGTGTGTGAAGAGAAGATTCATACTCACACGATCATGCGCCCACATTCACACCCAATAATCGATAAGAAAAAACATTTCTTTTTACAATACCCCAGTTCAAATGTGTGTCGTAGCTCTGCTCTGAATCTGTTGAATTCCTCTAAATCGATAGAAGTAGTATACAGACATATAAAAGCTTAAGCGAAACTTTATGCTGGATGTAGATTCATTTAACTTATGACTATGAAGGAATTGTCTTTTTCATTTCGGCGCGAACCGAATAGAGATTTTTCAATTCGTTTCGATCTCTGATTCCAATATCATACATTTCATCAATTCGAATCGATATAAACAATAACATATGAAATTTATTTTATACAATGACTTATTCAACACATTTTCTACATATATATGTATACATCGATCAGTCAGAATCCGATTAAGAATAGGTATAGAACTTTAATTTAAGATAATATCTTTTTATTAATGTATGTAAAATCAAGGACAAGAATAAAGCTTGAATAGAACAAAAACGCAAAAATGATGACTTTCTTAGTTGTATACTTTGTGCAAACAACGAGAAATTCAACAAATACAAAATGAACATAGCAAAATTTTATAAGCCAAAGATCACAAGATAGAATATAATAATCAATCACATACATTAGAAACAAGAGAAGAAAATTCACTTTCAATCATTTTAATGATGCGACAAAATTGTTTTTTCTTTCATGTTGATTTAATCATTGCATCATTATTTATTCCATTAAATAAATTGTTTAATAATTAATTATCTTGCTTTCTACCAATTGATCTTTAACAATTGGATAACTAGCAGCACTACTTATACCACACATATTCTTCTTATTTCGAGCAATTTTTATATATCCTTTATCACCCCAAGCAGCTGACCAGCTACAGATTAAAAAAAACAAAATATAAGAAAATAATCCAAAAATAAATTAAATTTATAAAATTTTACCTATTCTTAACAATATAATATTCTTGTTGACCTTTAACAGGATCATTAGCAACACCATAACCAACAGCTAAAACACCATGATCAAGATTTTCTGATGAACATTTATCATCGGAATATACACCTAAGAAGAAAAAAAACAACCAAATGCTCACATATAAAATAATATTAATAAACGTTTGAAAAAAAACAAATACACACAAAAATGAGCAGCTCAAACATACATTTCATCTATTTAACTATTCAAACAAATATAAAACTCTTTGAATATCATATTTCATTTTTTTTTTGTTATATACCTGAAACATAAAATTGAAATGATTCTTGACTAGCATCAATAGCAACCGAAACTGGGCCATTGAGTGCTAAAGCTTCTTGTAATGCTGTTTCATTTCCTTCTAGAATATCAACAAAACCATCACATGTTGCAGCAACAGATTTTCGACGAAATTTACATGCTGATTCATCCTATAAAGTATTCTGTATATCATTATATTTATAAATGAATCATTATCTTTACTTTTCCAGCATATGGATAGGTTTTTTCATCATCAATACCTTTATTATCATGTACATATTTAAATGCATTATCCATTAAACCACCATTGCATCCATTATTACCCCAATTTGTTGAACAATCAACAAGTTGTTGTTCACTTAAACTAACTAATTTACCACTTGATCGTGCATGATAACCTTCAAGTGCACCAGTCTAAAATATTTCAATTAATCAAAAATTGCAATTCATTTAAATTTCGTACATACAGTACTAAATGCCCAACATGAACCACATTGTCCTTGATCTTTAACTGGCGTTACAAGACCATGATCACGCCAATCAATTGATACTGGAAGAGTTGTATAAGGTGAAGCAGAAATATGTAAACGACGAATATCAGAAAATTGTGAACGTGAATTTTGTTGACGACGATATCCATTATATTTTTGACGAAATTCTTCATTGGTCTATCAAAAAAAAATAAAAAATAAACAAAAAGAATAAATAATGAAGAATTTTGTTTCAATAATTAAACTATTTACCAATGTAGCATATTTATTAATACCAAGTCGATAAGTATGTAAACCAAGATCATGTTCAAGATTATGTTTAATAATCATTTGAACATGATAAGCAAAGATTTTAAAACGATGAAGTTCTTCAGTTGTTGTATTATGTACAATACCATAACCTTTTTTAAAATTTGCCCATAAATTATCAATATGAGATTCAACATTTTCTAATGTTGGTAAATAAAAATCATTGCCGAGTGAGACTGGTGTTGAAAAAATTAATGGTATTAGAGCAATACCGATAATAAAACTATTTAGAATCAAATGCATTATTTTTTTGTTATGCGAAGTTTTGTATCTAAAAATGTGAAAATATATGTATGTGTTTATCGAATAGTTTGTTTTTTGATAATATATATGATCTCGAACGTGCCAATGATCGACATGCTATTATCTTTCTCTCTCTCTCTCTCTCTCTCTCTGACTATAGTTATCTTAAGTTTTGTACTTATATACGTCTATGATTCATATGGGAAAGTTAAATATAAACGAAAAGAAAAAAAAACATATACTTAGATATGACTCATCGCATTCTATTCTTAGTAGTTTCTATTCGTTTTCTTCCTCAATCCATATGATGCTTCACAAAGTGTTAATCACATTTTACATACATACATACATACTAACTCTATTCCTTATCAGTTCTAGTCCAATACGTTTTTTTTTGTTTAAAAAGGAAGAATTTCAAAGTTTTATTCTTAAAACCTAACGTTTATAAATACTTTTTAGAAACTATCGCTTCTCTCTGTAATATAACAAGGCCACTACAAGGTTTTTACCCTAAAACTAGACATTTTTAAGTTTGTAGAGCAAGATTTCTTCTACCTAATGATGAATGTATCAACAGGCTCTATTGCGTATCACTGAAATCTCAATAGAAGTCGCCATTTCCAACGCATTCTACGACTGTAGCTGCAGCGAAGATGGCGCCTTCTCTTGAAATCTCAACGATATGTAATAGAACTTGATAATACACACATCCTTAGATAAATGAAGTCTTTCATGTAGTTCTGGGACCAAAAATTATCATGAAACTTGTAGTTGCCTTTCATATTTTCTTCAATGTTATCTAACAATCTGTAACTTGAATTTATATTATTATCATGGAATTTAAATCATTTAACATCTCTCACTACTGCTTTATTAGCATTTATTTTTGATATGTTCTTATAAGAAGTACAAAACAATATTAAATCTTATGATAATTAAGATTATGAAATGCTCGAGTAATTTCAATTTATAGATTCTTAAAGTTTGTTCTTAGATAGAAACGAATTGATTTTGGAGTATATATCATTTAGTTGAATGAATGCTAATAGAGTGGTAATGAGTAAAGTTAATAAATTAAACTCCACAATAACGAAATAACATTGGAAAAAAAATGAAAATAAAAACTTAAAATTCTTTTGTTTTATACAGAAAAAAAAAGGATTAAACCAAAACTTGCTCAGTAATAAAGTTAGTACACATGTAAAAGGTAATCATAACTTTTGAGATATTTGTTATAGTAAAAGAAAAAGATAAACAAGTGAATAATTTTACTTTTTGAATTTGATTCATTGTCTTATAAACAAACAAAGTTCAGATATCTACACTAGTTTTTGTTTTCAAAATACAAGTGCAAACAATGAAAAAACGTATACGAAATTAAAACAAATATACACAAAAAAAACTGTTATACACTAATAATACATAAAGATTAAAAAAAAATAATTTCAATTGTATTCATAAAACTGAATTTATCTGAGAAAAAGACATGAGCTAACTGTCCTACATGACTAGTTAAAAGGAACTTTTATCTGATAAGACCATTTCGTGCTGCTTTAGTTGATAAAAATGCATGTAAATGGAAGACAAATGGTTTTGGTGATGTATCAAAATATAATTGCTAACAAAATAAAAAAAAGAAAAGAATGTTTATTAAACTTAAAAATATCTTCATACCATAACACCTTCTTCTCCATGAAAATCTAACATAAGTAAATGATCATTATCATCTGATGATGAACGAAGTTTTTCAAATGGTTCTTCCCAAAGTAAACGAACTTGAGTATAACCACTTTCGGGATCAGTACATAATGTAAAACCATCTTCATAATGTAAATATAATTTACATGTACGATTATTCCATTTACAAGCTAGAAAATAGAGTCAATTCATAAAAGAAAAATTTCATGTAAAAAACAGGAATGAGTAGCCCTAATGAAGAACGCTTGTGATAAAAATTTCAGCAAGATACATCAAACTAGAGCGCCCTTCTGGCTTATAGCCAATACGTGCGAGCAGTTTTTATCTGAACAGAATTTTTAAATTCGCTTCCGATCATTTTAGTATATATGGTGTCAAAATAGGCAAAACAAAATATTATTTCGCGACACTAAATCGAGTTTTTCTCAATACGTAAAAAAACCTGGTCGGACAAAAGTTTACTCTCATTTAGACTTTTGAAAACAAAAACAAAAATATAAGTTCAGATATGGGTTTGTCGTTCAAATCCAGGAAAAAAAACGTATTAAATAAAATTACATATTCATAATATATTTAAGTGAAGTTTTTAAAAGTACATAACAGATGACATAATCTAATACCATCTGTCGTACTTAAATTGTACAAAAAATGTTTATTTAATGCTTCTGTAAATAAGAAGACGGTTCCGGAAAACACATCAGTAGGTTCAAAGTTCTTTTCGAAAGTCTATTAAAATTTAACCTTTTTTTGCGAAAAGTCTTATATATTCTGAGAGACGAAAGTTCGTTGCATCCACCTATGATAAAAACTCAATTTCGATTTTTCTTCAAAAAAATGGATTTTCTGAGGAAAGAGTCCTTGAAATCTTCCAGAAAAGTAATAAAGAAATAGTTCATATATTATAATGAAACGCTATTGATATACGACCTACGACATGGGAAGAGGGAAGTTATGATATTGATTTGGTCGAAAGAAAAAAAGTTGAAAAAATAGTGTGGGTGTGAATGTGAGTTTGTACAACTATGATACAGGTGGTGAAAAAATCCACATTCACCCAACTACACTATTGGCGAACAATGATAAACAGTGAAAGTAGATACCAGTAGGATTAAACATGACACTTAATGACATTTGGAATATTTCCGACATTTTTTTTTCACTATTTTTCTTTCGACCAAATCGATACATACCAGAAGGAAAAGCGTGGTAGTACTGCTAAAACGTTTGTCATGATCCGTGACGTTTCCATGTTAATATCTGTGGGGAGTACAAATTTCTACTCTGTACACTACAATACTCATTTTAGATCATGTTTCACATACGAAAAACAACTTCTTTTGTACGTATAACAGCATTTTGTAAACATTGACTCATTCTATTTGTCCAATAATCTAAGTCAAGTTTTGTTTGAATTCGAAATGTATGTGTCACAATACCAAATTTAGTTCCAACACGTAATGTTAATAATGATATATCAATATCAATTGATGAATCACGAATTGGTCGAATAAATCTTAAAAAAAAAAAAAGAAAAAACAAGGAATTATATTTATGTATTTATTTATTTTTTTACCTGCTTCCAAGTATGGGATAGACAATATCTAATTCACGACAGATTTGTCTTGATATAAATGAAGAACCGAAAAAACATATTTCTGAATCTGTTAAAATAAGAAAAATAGGTCGCCATGATTTTATTGTTGTTATTTCATCATAATTAACTTGTTCAGCTAACCATCCTAATGCTTTTATTTCATTAGTATTACGTGTAATAATAAGATGTTCTTCAATTTCAGGTAAAATATCCAAAAGATAACGAGAAATTTTGGAATGAAGTATATAAAACCATTTTCGAGCATACATATTATCAACAAAACGTATACTATAACATGTTTGTATATGAGGTAAAATAATATCTAATATTGAACCATTTATATCATTTATTAATAATGGTGATGCTGTTAATGGAGGTAAAAATGAAGATGATAAAACAAGAATATCACTAGCTGATGATGAACGACGAAAAACATAACATAAACGAAGAGGTATACGTTTTGTTTCATAGAAAATTGAATCATTTGATGATTGATAAGATATAGGTGTCATATTTCGTTTATAATTTGATTCGATTAGATTATTTTCAGATTGTTGTTTTTGAGAAGATAAAAAAGTTTGTTTTTGCATTAAAATATTTATTTCTCGTAAATATCGAACTAAAAACAATATGATTTATTGATGAAGAAAATATTTAAAAAGTTGCTGAGTAAAATTAAATAATCAAAGAAAAATTTTCAAACTTAAAATCCTATAGTTTTTTTTTCCTTGAATATTATCCAAGGTACAGAAAGAAGTTTAGAATATCTCTTTGATTTATGAGAACCATTTATGACAGAGTATGGGATTACTTTAAAACATGTGTTCAATGTCATTACAGCATAATTTTCGAATATAAATGTGAGTGCACTTTTACAAAATGCCCGAGGATAAAAGAAATTAGCTATTTGCTTCATTTTTGAAGGATAGAAATAGATATCTGGCACCACTGTAATACAATATATTTTATCTAAAAAAGGATGAAAATGGATAAGGCTGTTTTTTTCTGTATTGAAATTAATCCAGCGGTGACACCTGATAAGATTGTAAAGGTTTATTTTGAATCAATATCCATACTCTTCTACAAGATCAACGAAAGCATGATCGAGCGATGTCGCGAAATAAACTATTGCAATGATATTAGAAGTCACCACGGAATTGATTTCAAGACAAAAAGCTAAAAAATTTTAGAAGCGGACAAACGATCGAACTGGTGGAAGTTTTTTTCTGACTAGACACTTAAAATTCTTAATTTAATCGGCAAAGAAACCCGCCAATTGAATATATCTATCTTTTGAGAAGCATTGTTTTTTATTATAGCGCTACGAAGGCATACGATATGAAAACCATACGACTTTTGGAGATTCGACTTCATATTCGTTTACATCTATTAATATCTAGATATTTTCACAGGCACATGAGACTATATTAATTTGCAAAAGATTTCACAACAAAATAGAAGTTTGTCTGATATTTTTGTAACAAGACCTACTTATCAATGAAAGATTTTAATCATCAGTGAAAAAGCAGTCTAGTGAGCTTCAAATTTTAATATGGAAAATCTTTAGTTTAGACCGTTGTAAACCTCTAATTATTGTCTGACGTTTTATAACGACTAGAAGAAAGTTTAGAGCTCATATTTTTAGATCATTAAAACTTGCGTCCTGTGGGTTATTTCGAAAATATAAAAAACAATACGAGACTCAAAGAAAGTTTCTCCCGCACAACTCTATTTAGAACTTTGAACATCAATAAAAACGAAAAAAGAACGTGCTAGATGCACTTTCCTAGAAATTAATAAACAATCGACCAATTCAGTTTCAAGTCTGATTAGTAATCTCAGTGATACCTTCTTAATTGTATTGTCTATTTCTTATTATATTCATAAGTGTTCTTTATCTCGCTATAAATTCTAGTATCTTCAAGATTGTTATTAAAACTAAAAAAAAGACCTTCAAGTTCAACGTCTTTTCCTGCTGTTTTTAATATTTGTACAGCTTCTTCATGTGAAACATGTTGTAAATCTTTTCCATTTACTGAAAGTATAGCATCGCCAATATGAAGTTGTCCATTTTGATCAGCTGGTAGATTTGGAAATATTTTACTTATTAATATAGGCATTCGATTTTCTCTTCCACCTTTTATACTTATTCCTATTAAAAAATATAGAAAAAAATAATAATAAACTTAAGTAAATTTTCATTGTTACCAAGTCCAACATTATCTGGTTTTATTATTTTCACTATACGTTTTTGACTGGTAATAGTATCTGATGGATCATAAATAGATGATCTAGTATTTGGTATTAAATTTTGATTTGATATATTCGTATGATTATATAATTCTTCAATTAATATTTGTTGATCACGTTTATTAGTTGCATATTCAATAATTAAATTTTCATCTTCAAGTGCTAAACTTGCTTTAGTCCATTTTGAATGTAGATAAAGTTCAGCAATAGCACGTTGTTGTTGTTCAGCTAATGATGATTCAAATGTCATCGAGTTTTATCTAATATTAATTTGAGAAAAATTTTCTCAGATTGAAAAAATATGAATATGAGCAGTGTTTCTAATGGAATTCTAAAACAAAATGTACAGTACACGCTGTTTTGGATAAGCAAAGTGTACAGCAAAATGTACACAGTCATTTACATTACTGAAGTGAAGCGAAAGAGCAAAAAAAAGACAAAGTTCTAGTATAAACTAAGATATATTATAAAATTGTCCAGAAAAGTATACACGCTGCTTTTTTAAGCAAAGTGTACAGCAGCATGTATTTTCATAGCTGCAGATATTTGTACATTTTGCTTCTGCAGTGTACACTTGCCATTAGAAACACTGAATATGAGTCTCTAGTTGTCGATAGGATTTAGGTTTAGTCTATGTATTGTTTTCTTTTTGAATGGATTGATTGATTTAACCAATCAAATAATTTTAAATGAAACAATGATTCAATTAAAATATTAAAATCAATAAAAATTACATTTTATTTATTGAATAATCAAAAATTTGAAGATTAGAAAAAAAAAAAGATAAAAGTGACATCTATCCAACAACTTATCCATCTACTTTTTTTTCTTAATTTTACACGATCCGAATATTGAATTGAAATTTTTTTCATGGTTAATTAACGTACTTGTTTCTCTTTTGTTTTAGATCGACTCAAAAGAACCATGGTAAGAGAAAGTTCTCTTCTCTATGTGTTTGTTTCGATAACGCATAACCTTCGAAACAAAAATTACAGTGATTATATTACTAGGCCTTTGCATTAGGATCATCGTGTTATCATTTGATTTACATTCTCTAGGTAATCCAACCCATTAAGAGTTATTCATCAGAAACATATTTTATTAACATTTGATACATATGCAATAAATAGGATTAACGATAATGTGAAAAAGGCACACCGTAGTGTTTTTTCAAGGATTTTTGCAATTCATTTTGATTGATGTAATGTACTTTAAATAAAAATCTAACAAGTGATTGCCTGTAAAAGGGAGCAAATATAATTGTTTGATAATAGTGTGCCAATTGAAGTTATGTACCATGCTTACTAATCCTTTTTGTTTTTTATTGGCTTAGAGTGTACCCGATTTCAAGGTACATTCATTTTTCATTTATGTTTACTTTGATCAAATAAATTGGAATAGAATTTAATCAGTGCAGAGTTTTGATCTGTATCAACTGATCGTATATCAAAATGAAACAGATACTCTAGAGTGGTTCACGAGGAAAGTATCCTAATTAATAAATTGCTTTTGAGTCAATGAAAAACTAAATGAGTTTTGAAGATCCTGAAAGGGTTTGGGCACTCTTAACTTATTGCTGCGTGGATGCTGTAAATTTACGGTAATTTTTAAATGAATGTTATATTAGCAGAAAAACTAATTTTCAAATTTCGACTTCAAAATTTGCATAGAGACATTCCTTTAATGAGAATAGTTTAATGTGAATGGTTCAGATGTTGTCGTTGTTCCTATCTTAAGATACAGCTATGGCAGATGCGTGTCTTTTATATTGCTCATATATAACAGCAGATTCAACGTTCATATTTCAAGATAGAAGCAAATCAAAACATCTGTCTCTCTACAAAGTTTCAAGTCGAGATTCGAAAATCAGTTTTTCTGCTACTATGGCATTCATTTAAAAACTATTCTAAATTTTCACTATCTCCGCATCAATAAACTAAAGATCCGAATTCTTTGCAAGATATTCATAACTCCTTTGGGTAACTTCCCTTGTTAGACTTACTGTCTCATCTATTATACGTTGGTTCGCAGCACAGGCGAATGTAACACCGTGTATGTGGAGTCGACAGTTAGAGAATAGTCTATTGTTTGAATATCGAACTATCACGAAATATTTCCAGTGAAATGTACACTAATTAAAGACTGCTCACGTTTAACTCATCGGACTCTATTTTAGCCACAAAACGAACATATTGAACTCCATCGTAAACGACATGGTCGTCGATTCGATCATTATGAAAAACAGTAATATAAATAGACTTTTTAGTCTTCGTTTATGTTCTTTTTTTCTTCTAGAAAAAAGAAAGAAGGACGTTTGCCACATATATTATCTAAAAAAGCTCAAACATTACGTGGCATAAAGTAAATAATCATATTCTAATTCTTGATGGATTTTATAAATTATTCTATTTAGAGCTAAATTATATAATAAACGTCGTCAAAATGAAAAAATTCAAATGAAAAAAACTATCAAAAGTCATGAAGAAAAAGAAACAAAACAACGACAAGAAGTACCACAAGGTGCTTTACCAGCTTATTTACTCGATCGTGAAAAACAAAGTCGAGCAAAAGTTTTATCACATACTATTAAACAAAAACGAAAAGAAAAAGCGGTATAAAACTTTTTTTATTTTGTTAAAAATAAAGAATATGTTTGTTTGCAGGGAAAATGGGATGTACCAATACCAAAAGTAAAAGCAGTTAGTGAAGCCGAAGTTTTTCGAGTTGTTCAATCAGGAAAACGACGAAGTATAGAAATTTCGTTTTTTTTCTTTAATTTTTATATTCAATTATTTATAATAGAGAAAGCATGGAAACGACTTGTAACAAAACCTTGTTTTGTTGGAGAAGGATTTACACGAAAACCACCAAAATTTGAACGATTTATTCGACCAATGGTAAATCATTTTGAAAAGTTAATCTTCATTTTAGAATAATTTTTCATATAGGCATTACGATTCACTAAAGCACATGTAACACATCCAGAATTAAAAGCAACTTTTCAATTACCTATTATCGGTGTTAAGAAAAATCCAAGTTCACCACTTTATACATCTCTAGGTGTAATTACTAAAGGAACAGTTCTTGAAGTAAGTATTTCTCGTTTTCAAAAAGTAATTGATCTGACTGTTTGTTGAATAAATTTTGATAAGAATAATATAGAGACTTGAAGTTTCCGCTATTCAAGGAAGAAGATTCTGGATTACCTATAGATGCTGGAATCAGCAGTCTCAGAAAAATCCTTGTAACTCTAGAACGAAACACGCCAGAAAGTTGAGACTTACGTAGATAGAGAAGAAAAAACTTTTCCGATCAATTAGTCAAAATCCAATGAAAAACGGCTTCAGAATGTCTTTATCAAAATTTTTGCAGAGAACCCACTTAATTAGTGTTCCTATCAAAAGTTATTCAAAAAACAGTCAAATCCATTGCTTTTTGAAATCGACAATAATTACATCTACAGATATGTATATATCAAAATTTTAATTTTATTTCAATTAGGTAAATGTTAGTGAACTTGGAATGGTTACACAAGGTGGTAAAGTTGTTTGGGGAAAATATGCACAAGTAACAAATCATCCAGAAAATGATGGATGTATTAATGCTGTACTTCTTGTTTAATAAATTGTTTTGAAATAAAGATTGTTACAAAATTGATAATGCAAAAAGAAAAAAAGTATCGATGAAAAATTGAATTTATTCATAAAACATTAAAAAAAAAAGTAATTTCACATAATGAATGAAGTTATATAGAAATGTATTGAGTTTAAATTAGATAGTATTTCATAATTAAAACATGAAATTTCAAAAGTATGATTCCTATTTTGTGAAATATAATTTTTCGTCTTCAGTCTAATTAAAACGAAACGAATATTTATTGCGAAAATTTTGTCATTTTACTCCTAATATTTTGCCTGTATATCGGCATAATGAACTTTTCTAGAGCTGGCCAATTCGGTTCGTGCCGTAGAGTCTATCCTGAAGTTTCTATAGCGTTTATTAAGATCTAAATCTATGGCAACGTTTGAAAATCATCTTTTGTTTTTTTGAAATCGGAGGCTTATTGCAATAACATTTGTCGACTTCTGATTATATTCGACAATTCGAACAATAATAATTTATTTTATTTGGAAATTTCATTGTAATGGAATGCATGGATTGACTTTTTCTGTTAGTCATCTATTTACGACTCAAAATATGACAATTGTATTTGTTTGGTATGTCATCATTCGCAATAGAAATGAACAAAACACATTTTTACCAATATGACTTCCCTTCTTTTTTGTCTTTATTTCCTTCGAAAACATTACAATTCATTCAAAGTCAAACACATATTCATTAAGTGTGCAAATACGGCAGGAAATGCATCTGTTTTCTGTCATTTTGATGACGTTAAATCTAATCCAAAACGACTTTCACATGGCTATAGTTATTTAACACATATGGCCTTCTCCTTCGGCACACGAATGTACTTGCCATGAATTAGCCGCCGTCTTTCTTCATATCATGGCATGGGAGGAGCATAGAGTGTGTCAAGTGATAAGCCGAGTTCTTCGTTCAAAAGATCGATCGAATTTGAAAGTATGATTCGTTTATCTTAAGATGTATAATACACCTCTTCAAAACTTATCCACTGTATGAAATAATATTTACCGTTATAGAGAGCAGGATTGCCATCTCTTCTGCTTTTTTATATTTTTTATTGAAAAATTTGAGACAAGAAAATCGGTGAATATTGAGTAAGTAGTGGTAGCTACCGTCTACAGTCAATTATTGCCTATACGAGGCATTCTATGTTCTATTTCGGCAAGCAACGCCAATGTCAAAAGTGTTCTTTTTGTCGGAAACGAGACATTTGTCCGATGATTTTTACAATTGAACGTCAGTAGATTCAATAGCTGCAGAAATATTTCATTATCGCACGAATATGCATAAGTATCTGCTGTCTTAAAAAGAATTGATAATCGAACTCCATTCAAACAGTAAATGTAACTAACGGGTGGTCCATGAAGAATGACACATATTGATTTTCTTTTTCTGACGACACTATTCTAAACTCATTCTATAAAGAATTTCTTGTTCTTCAAATAAGTTTCTTCTGTAGTGGAAAAATCGACAAGATTGACAACTACTCAGTCATTGAACTGCGACTGCCACAAAACAAAACAATGATTACAAAAAATATGTTGAAATAATAGTTCCACCGAAATTCAAGGTATGCCATGGAACGCTACATCGCACGATGTTTCGTGATTTTAGAAAAAAACAATTAGAAGAACAAGTTTTCAAGCAAAAATTAGAAAACTCTTTCTCGCAGCTCTATGCCATTGAAAAGAATCTAAAGATTTTCGTTATCTGATTGAAATTTATCTTTATTTTGTTCAGAATACAATCAAAAAGTAATGTGTTTAATAAAATATCGATCTTCTTTATGCATTATTTACTGTATTTTAGAACTTCGAAAGAAACAACAAGTTATTTAAATCTATAGAAATGCGAAGAGCCGACAAAAATCAGCTTTCCACTTGTTTTGATCTTTACCAATGGATAAATAAATGTTTTTTTAAACATAAAGTCTTTTTTTTTTCATATTCACAATATTCTTTCTTTTATTTCAAAAAAGAAGAACCAAAATTTTAAAAAACAAAACAAAACAAAGAATCGTTAATGAATAATCTCACATCGGTTCATCTTGGTGATGTTTTTTTCATATCACCTGTACGAAAATCTGAATCATTACCAATAATTGTTGTTCTTTTCTCTCTATCTTCTCCCATTAAATTTGATTTTATTGCTCGATCATCAGCATCATGATGGCCTGATAAAATAACATCTGAAAAACGTGATTTTTTTGTAATATCTTTTCGTCGTTCATTGTGATAATCATTATCAGGTCTTATTGTTGTTGTTGTTGTTGTTACCATACGATGATCCATATCGTGATCAAGAAAACGATAATCAATATCGTTATATTCACTTATAATTAATTGTTTTTTTAGTTTATCATCTTGTTCATCATCAACTTCCATATTTTCTTCATTTAAATTATCATCACTTATAATTACTTTAGTCAAATTACTTTCTTTTATTGCTTTCCATTCAGACATAGCAGTGTTTAGATCATTAGTAAATCGTGTACATAAATCTTCACGTCCACTGGATTTTAAAAGTTCTATAGTAGACATAACTATCGGAGAGATAGTATCAATTGATGTGGCATGACGAATACGATCAAGGGATTCAGATATTAACTTGTTCAAATCTTCGGTAGAACTAAAAGAAAAAAAATTTTAGTCAAATGAATTATCACTAAAGATATGTACTACCCGTGGCGATTGGACAACCGCTCCGGTCCCCCCCCCCCCCTCCAGCTCTCTTCTTGTTTTGTCTGCTAGGCGACTGCACCTTCGTCATACCCATCTTATAAGTATATGTATATATGTTCAGTTACATCTTCCCTAATGAATTATTCTTTCGTGATATTTTCAACCCGAGGAGTAAATATCAAAGACATCGGTCGTGAAGTCCTGAAATTCCTTGAAGCCTGCTGTTTTCCCCTCAGTTTTTTAGACGCAGTGTACGTCTCTGATTCTCACTATAATATTAATTAATTGAAAAAGTCATATTTTTGACTTCGAGTTGCATTATTCGGTGTATATTGCATATCCCTTATTTCTACAAAAAGATATGATGTCGTACGTCACATGAAACAAGTTATTTACTTCTAATAAATATAACTTTTCTAAATTTTAACAAAAAAAAAAATATTGCTTACTATTCAGTTGGAATTGTTTTTGTATTAGTAGTAAATATGGACTGTGGTGTTGAAAGATTGACATTACTAGTTGATATTGTTTCTGTAATATTACTTCCACCTAATCGTGGATCTTTATTTCTTGATAAACGAGGATCTCGTATAGATGCAGTATCTTGTAATGAAACAGGTTTATAAGTTATATTACTTAATGATTGACTTTGATTTGGACGATTTAAAGGTTTTGTTCGTTTACCTGATCCAATAACAACAAGAAATAATTGTTTTGGATCAATATTTGCTGATAAAGAAAGTGCTGATATAACATTTACTGGACAATCTTTTAAATCAGCTGCTAAAACATACATATCACGTATTAATGATGGTTCTGATCGTTTACTAATAACAGCAGCTCGACCTGACGTACGCATTGTATCAACATAACGTAAAAATACATTATTTTCATTATTATTTGATGATAGAAGTGTTAAAATAATAACATCACGAACAGCAATTGATTCACGAATATAATCCCAAAGATCACCGAGTCGAAGTCGTCCAAGAATGCCAAGTTGTTCTGGAATTTCTCCAATAAGATAATCACTTTCACCATAAATACGTATTGATTGACATGGAATTTTAGTATCAGGTGAATTAATAACACCACGCCATTGATTTACTACACTCGATGAACGAGTAATAGGTGTTGGTTGATACCTATTGAAAAGTAAAAAAAAAAAAAAAAGGAATAAAGCTTTTTTTCTAAAAAAAACAACAGCAAATAATTTTTGGTTTACATTTGTGCTGAATCAGTTTTAGATTTTGATGCAATTAGAGGATTATAATCATCACGAATTGGTTGTGGTGCTGGTGGGAGACATTCATTATTATCACCGGGTGATTCGGGATGTTGTTGTTGTTGTTGAATTATTGATGATCGTGAATTAATACTGACATTATTCACATCATCATCATCATCGTAAAGTAAAGCATCAATGCCTGTTGGACTTTCTGGTTCGATATAATCATTATCAAGATCAACTGCTGGAAATATTGGATTTGATACTTCATTTGATTCTTCATGAATTGGTGATGTAGGTGGAAGTTTTGGAGGTTCGTCAACAGTTTTAATTGGTATTGGTTCAGTCGGTTGAGGAATTGTTTCTAAAATTTCAAAATGATTCATTTTAAAAATCTGACTGTTTTTTGTTAGATCTCAACCTCTAATAAAGACATATACAAGTAAATTTAAGGTAAAATTTTCAATTAAAATAATTGATTTCTTTTCGAAATATTCGTACAATCAATAAGTTCAATGGTCTAATCTTTTCATAAATGAATGAAATGTATAACGAAAAAATTGACTCTATTTCAAAAACTATGGGAAGTAAAACTCATTGGGTTGAGCTCGCATCCCGCCGGATCTGAAAATTCTCGATTCGATGGGCTCTAATGGAAAGTTATAATCTATCACGAGTTCTATCGTCAGATTGACTGAGAATGAATGTCAGCTATTTATAACTCTCTTTGAATTTTTACCAATAGGAATCGATGGAGATGGTTTTGGAGATGTTGATTTGGATGCTGTTGTATTGGCACATATTGAACAATTGATATCAAATGTATGTAGACCATGTGATGATGTTGTATCTTTATTAGATGTAGATGTTTGAACTTTAGGTTTAGGTTTTACAGTTGATTTTTGGTCAGAAGTCGAATTGATTGGTTTCTTGGTTTTGACAATAGGTTTTGAAGTTGTAGTATTTTCTGTTTTTATAGTTTCACGATTTACTTTAGATGCACTAGAAGATTTTGATTCTTTAGATTCATTATTCTTAGATTCAGTTGAAGTTTGTTCCTTCTTTAA